TGTCCTAAGACTGGAAGTTGCACAGAGAGTTCCAATAAACATTGGCAAAGGAAGCCTTTCAACAGGAGCTCCCTATATTGAGGAAATCACAGAACCAGCAAAAGTGGTTATTAATAAAAATGAATTTATAGCCATAGCTATCATTCTGGAGGCTGGAATATTGTGTCATGGAAAGTCACCTCCCAGTTCTACTTGGTTTTATGAGGGCAAAGAAAAGTCTGTGAAAATCTCTTTTTGTGAAATCTCCAAGAACAGATTGGGGCAGCTATGTGGTACAGTGGATAAAGTGCCAGACCTGGAGTCAGAAAGAATTGAATTCAAGTACTGCCTCAAGTACTTACTAGCTGTGTGACTCTGGGTTAAGTCACTTAACTGCTATCTGCCTCAGTTTCCTCTACTGTAAAAGGGGGATAATAACACAGGGTTGCTACAATCAAATGAGATAGAAGGTGCTATCTAGATGCTTATACCCTTCCCTCCAATAAATCATCTTTTTTTTCCCTTGATCTCTTTGTCTATGGTGGGGTTCACTGGTTTGCAAAGAGGAATGCTGTAACACATTCTCACTTTTGCCCTGACTTTTGTATTATGGGGCCATCATTTGGGAAGACCCATGGCAGCTATCTCTGAAAGCTCCTGGGCTACCCTGAGATTGCCTCTTTTGTGTTCTCAGCACTTAGCACAGTGTCTGGCACATGGGGGGATGCTCAATAAATATTTGTTGATTGATGCCAACTTTAATGCTCTTGTAGAAGTTACATTCTGTACACCATATACACTGTCTCAAAGTCTGGATAGGGAAGATACAATGTGACCTGTGCCTCTTCTCTGTTAGTCAGACCTAGTACTATAGTGATGGATCATTCTCCTCAATTTCCTGGTTAACGCAGAATGGATACCCGATTGTCATAGCACCTAAGGTGGGGGTGGGGTGTGGTGGTTCAAGTGCTGGACATGGAATAAAAAGATTTGGGTTCAAATCCTGCTTCTGATTATGCTGTGGCATAGCAGCATAGGCACTGGCCTCTACATTCAATTGTTTTATTTGATTAAAGCTCAAATTTCCCTTCACCTAGTCTCCCCACTCTAGTCAATCCTATACCCTGCAGCCAAAATGATTTTCCTTAAGCACAGATCTGATTATGTTATCCCCTACTCAATAGCTTCCAGAGGCTCCCTATTCCATTTAAAATCAAACACAAACTCTCCTGTTTAGTCTTTAAAACCCTTCAAAACCTGTCCCCAATTTATCTTTACAGCTTCATTGTATATTACTTCTCTTCTCATATGAAGTGATCTAGACAGACTGGACTTCTCTCTATTGCTCACAGAAGACCCTCCATCTCCCTGCCTTCACTCTGACTCTCATGCTTGGAATATACTCCCTTCTCAGGGAAGGCCTCAGAAAATCCTTCTTTTCCTTCAGGAGGCAGCCTAAACACCACCTTCCATATGAAGCCTTTCCTAATCTTTCCCCTGTGACCAAAAAGTAGTATTCTACCCCCTGAACTATTTTGTATTTAACTGCTTTGTACTCTCTTTAGATTTATTCTGTACATATTTATATAGACTTGTCTCCCCCATTAGAATGTAAGCTTCTTGTGAGCAGGGATCATTTCTGCACATAGTACAGTGCCTGGTAGATGAGACAGACTAGCAGTCCCTACCCTCTGTCAGCTCCAGAAGTTGCATCCTGTCTCTGGAAATTACTGTCTAATCCTATTTGGTGTTATTAGGGTAAAGAAAAAGTCCTGAAATCTCTGATGGCAGACCAAATAGAACTTGAAGGCAACATTCAGAGACATTATACTCTAAACATCAGAAGATGGGTATAGGGACCTCTCATTTCACTGGTGAAAGGAATTATCAGATGAGTGGATACCTTCTACCAACATAGGTTGGCACCTACTCTGCAACTTATAGACTTAAAAGAGTTGCCTAATCCATGGAGAGGTTAAAGGACTTGCCCAGCGTCACACAACCAATATGGGTCAAAGGCAGAACTTGAACCAAGTTTTTGGCTCTGAGGTCAGCTCTGGCAGTCTCTTTTGCCAGACATATGGTAGACACTGAATAAATACTTGTTGATTTGCTGAATTTTTTTTTATTTGGCAGATATTACCAAGGCAACTCAGTACACTAGCATGGGGACCATGAACTGGCCAATCACTTTCAGCCTCTTGGATCTTTGGTTTCCTGATCTGTAAAATGGGGATAATCATACCTACAGTGTTTACCTTACAGGGTTGTTGTGATCATGCGGTGAGATAATACATGGAAAAATACTCTGCAAACTTTAAAGCCCTGGATAAATGTCAGTTCTTGTTTTTATTTTGTGACCCCTGATAGATTCTGTAAAGTTATTTTGACATGAGCTTTGGTCATCCTTCCCTAAGTCCTTGCTAATGGCAAATTTAGCCCAAGTTCATTTCTTTCTACTAAAAAATACATGATCTAGGCAAGCATTTTATATTGCCGAAGTGTCATTCTAACCTTTGTTGAAGGCTTTATTTCTGCAGCTACAGCTAGTACCTGAAAATATAGTGTTTTCCAATTTTAGTAACTAAAGTCTGTAATTTGTAGAAGATAAGAGTTCAGTTTTCTGGTCACTGCAATTTCCCCAGAACAAGGATAGAACATGGTAAATGATATCCTAGTTTTATTAGCTGCTGCTACTTGAGTATAGTATCTATCTATCTATCCATCCATTCATCTACCTATCTATCCATCCATACATCTCTATCTATTTCTATCCATCTATCTGTCCATCTATAGCCATCTCTTTCCATCTATCCAATTAGTTCTCTCTCTGTCTCTCTCTGTCTCTCTCTCTCTCTGTCTCTCTCTCTCTCTCTCTCTCTCTCTCTCTCTCTCTCTCTATCCCTCTCCTCCCTTACTGACTTGGAAATTATTGTATTCTGGATAGTTACTACACACCTCCTCCCTCTGTCTACTTGTTTGTATTGGAAATTTATTTAGATTTAATAGGAACCAGCTGTTAATTCCATAAGAAGAAAGATACCGGGAAAACCTATTCATCAATCAATCCATTTTTGAGTTGCCTTGGTAACATCTGCCAAATTGGAAAAAAAGAAAACCAAGTGGAAGACTTGAACTTTAAATATAAAAAACAATTGAATTCAGAGGCCATTCCCAATGCTGCTATAACGTAGCACAGTTGTATCACATGGGTCTATGGACCATAACACATGAAAGGATAAAGAAAAATGGAGCTTATTCAGAAAAAAAGAGTCCACACATTTATAAGAGGCAGAAATGACACAGTGGAATGTAAACTGTACTTGTAGTCAGAGTACCTAGGCTAAGATCCATGTCTATCTACTTATTTACTATATTGTGGCCCTGGACAAATCACTTTCCCTGAAGGCCTTAGTTTCTTTGCTAGTAAAATGAAGGAAATTGGACTAGATGAACTCTAAGGTCCATTTAATCTATAAATTCTTTGATCCTACATATTTAGAAAAACACCATACATACTCATTTAGAATTTAGCCAGACTATTTTTAAAAACAGCCCTATGAGGAGAATCAAATTAAGGGGAGCAAAAGACAAAAAAAAATTCCAACACTTGTAACCTTAAGTGGCTTATATTCTACCAGGGGAGACATGCGTATATATAAATATATATAAAATACATAAATAAAATAATTTGGGGGGAAAGGAGAAAATACTTTCCAAGATATCACACTTAAGAAAACAGTTATCAAAGAAAGTAAACTAACTCTGGGGCAGGTAGGAGGTACAGTGGATAGAGTACTGAGCCTGGAGTTAGAAAGACTCATTTTCCTGAGTTCAAATCTGGTTTCAGATACTTAGTAGCTGTGTGATCCTGGGCTTAACTTAACACTTAACCCTGTTTGCCTCAGTTTCCTCATCTGTAAAATGAGCTGGAGAAGGAAATGGAAAACCACTTCAGTATCTTTGCCAAGAAAATCCCAAATGGAGTCACAAAGAGTCAGACATAGCTGAAAAATGACTGAACAAAAATTAACTCTGGAACCTATTGACTGTAAAACTCAATTTTTAAAGAATTGAGTTCTCTCTAGAGAATGGAACATAGACCTAGAACTACTCAAAGGCTACCTAATACAACCCCCTCATTTTACAGATGAGGAAACTGAGGCCCAGGGAGATGAGGTGACTCAGTGTCCCATAGGGATTAAGAATCAGAGATGAGATGTGGACCAGCAGGTTTTCTGACTCTGTCCCTTGGATCACATGGTCTTTCTTAGGAGCCCTGTTTTATTTAAACTGAACAGATAATCATATTTTGTCCTCCTGCTTCAGAAAAGAAGCAGACATAATTCTCAAAAGGAAGAAAATCTGCCCTCTTGCCCTGCTTTGCCTCTAACAAGGGCAAAGACCCTTATATTAAGAACATCAACAATTCACTGGGAGAAAGATGGCTTTGATGCACAGCAGAGATCTCTCAAGAAGCCAGAAAAGCTGCTGTGAAACATTTCACGAGTTGCCATCTTTCCAAATAAAACCTTGAAGGTGGACTCTCTCTGTAACTCTTTTGAAAGGCCTAAAATATTACAAATTAGGTAGTTAGTTGGTGTGTCTAATTGCTTTGTGGTTCTCATTTTTGTGTGGCGATCTAACACAAATACATGCTTTTATGTGGAGTGGTCTATTAGGTTACACAGCTGTTTTCATTGAATTTTATTATGCTCATAAAACTTTCATAACATTCATAAAAGTAATATTGTAAAAGAGTATTTTTCCACAGCCAGAAGCACAGGCAGTGGTCAAAAATGACAGTTTCACCATTAAATGTGAAATGCCCCTTGACAGCTCCAAGATTAAATAACTTCACACCACTACTCATTTTTCATCCCTAAATGAGATAACGCCAATTTTTGTCATTTGTTCTCAATTTCTAAAGCTACTTCCTTACAAATTTTCTTTTTACTTCAGAGTCTTAGTAACCCTAGGTCAAGTGATATGCATACTATGGGCACTAAATAAATACTCACCAAGTAAGTCTGAGGATCTTAAATTTTCTTTCAGAAATGTAACAGACATAACAGCACTACCTAAAAAAGAAAATGATCATTAATGGCAAACCTTATGACATTTACTCTACCAAAATCATTTGCCAAAAGAAGTACAGGCAGTTTCCAACTTAGGAAGGCCCAATTTATGAAATTTCTTTATAGATAAAATTAGCTTTAACTAGGGTAGGGTGATCTGAGCTTTCCCTAGATTGGTTAAATTTAGAAGTACCAATAGCACCATCCTTAGGAGGACAATTCTCCTCTTTCTGGTGGAAATCCCTTCCATCTGGGACCCCTACCTTCCTGCTCCCAAAGGACACAGTCCTTCAACAATGTAGAAACTTTGGTGTGTGGGGCATACTTCTTTTCACACTAAACAGATGCAAGTTCCCCATCGGTTCCCCCGACTCCCTTCTTCTCTTTCCTCAAGTGCAAAAATTCCTAGTTATAACTCTGCCATGTTTAGCTAGGGACTCACCTTTGAGACTTCCAGAACTTTCTTTCTCTTCCTGCCCCTAATGGGAATACCCTGGAATCCTGTTCTTTCCCTTATGATGCTGGGGAAGCTTAAGATCCCTACCTCTACTTACCCTGCTGATGCTAGTAATGCATAGAACCTATTCCTTTTCCTACTTTCATGCCACCCTTGGACATCTCATTTCTGATCATATGACCAAGTATAAAAAAGAATATGGGGAGACATATTCCTGGTGTCCCAAGCTAAAACTTGGAATGAATTTTCCCATAAAATCAGTATTCCAAATGGGATTATGTTCCATAGTACCACAGGTACTGCATTTCAGCTACATTGTGGGTTACGTGGGGCTTTGTGGATTGGTCAGGGACTCAAATATCATCTAGAACACTGGTTTTATAGGCAAATGTGCTCTAGATTCCTAACTACTAAATTACAAGTTACTGTAACTTTTGTTATTAATTGGATACTACCCATATTAATACACGCCCAACAAATCCAGTTATTTGTCCTACAAGAGGGAAGCAGAGATATGGACAACCTAAAATGGTAGGTAATTTTTAAAAAATTGTACTTAATTTTGGAATTTGTTTTTATGTTTCCATTTGAATGGGCAGCTAGGTGGCACAGGGGATAGAGTGCCAGTTCTGGAGTCAGGAAGACTCATCTTTCTGAGTTCAAATCTGGTCTCATACTCTTACTAACTGTCTGTCCCTGGGCAAGTCATTTTACCCTGTTTGCCTCAGTTTCTCATTTGTAAAATGAGCTGAAGAAAGCAATGGCAAACTATTCCAGTATCTTTGCCAAGAAAACCCCAAATAGGGTCATGAAGAGTCAGACAGGGCTGAAAATGACTAAACAACAGTTCATTTGAATATGGATATATCAGGTGTGCTGGGAATTCCATTTGAGCAGAATAATGAACTTTGCAAAGCTCTGATTCAAAAGAAGCTGGGAACCTGTCCAGTTTTCTTTTATTTTGCCCACCTTTCAACTCGATTTTAAGCATTAAGATAAGCAGAGCTGTCCTCTTATAAACCTTCCCTACAACAGGCTCCCTTAGAAATAGGTCTCTAACAAAGTAAAATAAACATGGGGAATGAGAGATGTCAACAAAGGCAGGATTTAATTGGAGGAGGTGTTAACTGTCAAACTTGAAAATGAGATTTGCTATGGATAAGCTGACACGTGGAGAAGTTTCTTGTTAAATTAAGAACCTCATATTTCATAGATTGTTAGAGATGGAAGGGAATTTAGAAATCCTCTCAGCCAGCTTGGATCAGGTATAAATTAAAACACTAAGGTTCTCTCTTGCTTCTCTGTCTCTCTCTTCCTTCTCTCTCTCCTCTCCTTCCCTTCCTCTGTCTTTCTCCCCTTTCTTTGTCTCCTCCTCTTCTCTCTTCTCTCTCTGTCTCTCTCTCTCTTCTTCCTCTGACTCTTTCTTCCTTCTGTCCTCCTTCTTTCTCTTCCTTTTCTGTTCTCCTTCTTTCTCTTCCTTTTCTGTTTCTCTCTTCCTTCTATCTCTCCTCCCTTCTCTGTCTCTCTCATCCTCCTCTATCTCTCTTCCTCTTTAGTCTCTTTCTTCCTCCTGTGCCTCTCTTCCTTCTGTCTCTTTCTTCTCTGTCTCTCCCCCTACTATGTCTCTCTCTTCCTCTTGTCTCTCCCTTCTCTCTCTTTCTGTATCTCTTCCTTCTCTGTATCTCCATCTATTTTTCCTCCCCCTCCCTTCTCTCTGCCCCCTTCCCAATATGTTCCAAACAGAACTTAAGATCTAATTTAATGCTACTATTTCCAATGGTTAGAAGTAAAAACTTCTAGTAAAGATCTTCTTTACTACTCACTATCCAAAATGATAGACTTTCAGAGTCATCTTTCAAGCGATACTCTACAACAGAATCAACAAATGGTGAAGGAATTGAGTCTCTCTTCTTCTAAAGGCGGCCCATTTTGCTTCTGAATAGTGTTCATTATTAGCAAGTTTTTTTTTCTGTTGGTAGAATGAAGGGGTCAGACTGACGGACTCTGAGGGCTCTCGTGGCTCTAAAGTTAGGGTTCCATGATCTGTTCTCTAAGACTTAGCCTGAATTTGCCACTGTTCAACACCTACCAATTGGTCCTAGGAAGAACAAGCCTTACCCCTCTTCTTTGGAGAGCTCGTGCCTATCCCTGGAGGATGGAGGGCACAGAGTCTTCTCATTTAAGAGACACGATGCTTATGGACTCTGGTTCATATCACATCCCCCAATTTGAAAGAAACAATAGCATCAGAGTCATAGATTTGAAAGAAACTTAGAGGTCCCAGTACATCCTTCCCCTCTGTTAACATGCACAAAATAACAAATCCCAACAAGAAGGAAGACATTGCATTCACATAATTTTAGAATCAGAAGGGACATTGGAAATCATCACATTTGTTCCTTTCATTTTACATAAGAGGAAACTGAGTCTCAGATGGGTTAACTGATTTCCTCAAGGTCACATGGCTGATTAATAGCAGAGCCAGGACTAGAATCCATGGTTCTAGGTTTCCTGGTCCAGTGCTCTTTTGAGTAGAAGAAATAAAAATTTAATTGCAGAAAGAAGAGAGAATGTTTCAAAAGTGGAGATGAAGTAAAAAGAACATAATCAAACAGTGTCACAAGCATAAAATATGACAGTTCAATATCAACTAACATTTACTTAAGGATTCAAGGGTATATGGGAACCAGGTGAGAAATGACTGTTAAATTTTCAGTGTGATGTATAACCTATATCAAATTGCTTACTGTCTTACAGAGGGGGTAGGAGAGGGAGGAAGAGAATCTGGAACTAAAAAAAATTTAAAACAAATGTTAAAATTGTTTTTATGTGCAATTGAGAAAAGTAAAATGTTATTTAAAAATAAATTTTCAGTATGAGCATTTATACCTCAGAAATGTGCAAATGCTAGAAATCAAGGATTAATTTATTATTTTTTAATAATCTAGAAGTAAGAAAGTGATGGAGAAAATGTTAATAACACAGATTAAATTAAAAAGTATGGCATCTTGCTGTACTTCTCCTTCCCCCCTGCCCCTGAAAGTCAGTTGTTAAATATTCACCAGCACATTACTAAGACACAAAACTATCAGAGCTTAGGGAAAAAATTAGCACCCCATCTAAAGTTTCTACTAATTGAATTAATCAATTAATCAACCAACTAGTATTTATTAAGCATTCACTATGTATCAGGCTCTATAAAAAGTGTTGGGGATCCAAAAACAAAAATGAAATAGCCCCTCCCTTCAAGAAGTTTATATTTTATGAGGGAGAATGTGTATACATACATATGTGTGTGTATGTGTGTGTATGTGTACAAATATATATATGTATGTGTATATATATATATTTATATATATGCATATTTACACAATAAATGCAAAGTAATTGGCATAGAGAATGCACTAACAACCGGGAGATCAGGAAAAGCTTTGTGTTGGGCATAGTTTTGAGCTAAACCTTGATGGAAAATAGGAATTCTAAAGGGTAGAGATAAGGAGAAAGTATACTTCAGGCATTAGGGCCAGCCTGTGAAAAGAAACTGATAGAATATATAAATGAGTTTTTTAAAAGCATTTATGAAACCCTAGCTGTGTATAAAACCCTGTGCTAAGTGCTAGGAATACAGTCCCTGCCCTCAAGGTGCTCACAGAGACAATACTTGGAATGTCTAGCTGAAGAGTAGACAAAGGCCTGGTGGTCATCAGGGTTTAGGAGCAGGGCCAGTGGAAAAATCCTAGTGAACCATAGGATACAGCAACAGAGGTTGGGAGGGTATAATTGCATGTTACGTATGAAGGCCCTGTGGTCCTAAGGGCATAGATCCGGAACAGATGGCAAGGATGGAAGACAAGAATTAACGGTCCTTATATTGGATGGGAAAGCCTGGCAGCCTCCATCTTACCAAAAGGATTGTAGTTTGTGACTCCTTCAGTGGTGTCAGATGGCCATGTCTTCCTTAAAGTGATGAAGTGGGTTAGAAGCCATGTCACTAACATTTGGGAAGGAGGAAGTGGGCCTGAGGGTTAGAGCAAGGTGGGAATGAGACAAGGGTCAGCATCCAGCCAGAAGGAAGAAATGGGAAAGGGGCATTGGCAGGAAGGCTGCCCCATAGAACCTGCCTTTGCTGCGTCTTCTAGCACCCAGCAGGATCCAAGGAATAGATGAGCTGGGGGAAGGTGAGGGAAGGTCATCTGACATTGGCTGCTCCAAATAGAAGGAAGAGACCAATATCTTGTTTTGTTAAAAATTATCTTTTTTTATTCTTAATTTAACAAATACTAAATAAAATGAACATTTTCATATACAAAATAGAAAAGAGAAAAAAAGTTTAGAAATATTCAAGAAATCATGAATCTTTCTTGAAAATAGCTTGCTTTTCCTTTTAAGTATTTAACAATTTCAACATGGAACTTTCAAAGCTGTACTGCATGTCTATGCTTCCTTTTGGCTCTCTTTGTGATCTCATCTATGCATTTAAAAAATGCTTCAAGAACTCTCTTGTTTTCTCCCCTCCCCCTTCCATTGCTAGTTAAACACACACACA